AAGTTCTTTGCCGATACAATTCCTGCTACACACTCTTAATCATAAGAAGAATCTTAAGGCAAATGCCTTGCAATATTAACCCTAGCCAGACCAGTTAGATGTAGTTCGAACCAGAGAAACTTCACAAGTTGTCTTAGCTTTCTGGAGAGAGCAAGTGCACCAGGGTGAATTTGAAACCTCAAGTTGATCAAGGCAGGCATCAACAGGCGTCCTGCTATGTATTATATCCCTTTTATTTTATTTTAGCATGGCACAAATCTTTGTTCAGGATCTAGACTTCCTTATTTTGAATTCCATTCAGTGTGATTCAATTATCTTTCTTATTACAGTATTTTCAATCAGATTTGGTTGTTCAGCATGCAAATAAAAATCCTACTGGAAAATAAGAAATTGCAGAAACTCTAAATAGGCATTTCAGTGTTACAAGTTTTTTTTACATATAGAAAAAAATAAAGAATGTCTCAGTCAGTTCATTTTTCGTTTGAGTTGGACCAAACTTTCTTGTTTGAAATGATTTTTGATTTGGAGTTTTAGCTTAAACAAATAAACTACTCAAAAGTAAATTTATTTTAAAAATAAATATATGGTCTGTTTGTTTGCTGTAGAAAAGTTTTTTTTTAATAGTAAATTCTAAAAAAATAAATTCTAGAAAAGTGAATTATTTTTTGATATTTGTAGTGTAATGAAAAATAAGTTGGAAAATATTTTTTAGTGTTTAATTATGTTATGGAAAATGAGATAGAAAATAGCTCATTAATATTTTATTTTTTTCAAGTTTATTAAAATAATAAGAAATAAATCTTACAAATTAAAAAGTTGAATGAGAATGAAATTAAAAAAAATATAATTTCATAAATTATCTTAAATAAAATAAATAATAATCAAAATGATAGAGATTAACTCTAAAATATAAAAAACATAAAAGATGAAGAAATTAAAATAATAATATTAACATTTCATAAATTATTTCAAATAAAATAAATAACAATCAAAACAATGAGGATTAAATTTGATAGATAAAAAAATTTTAATAAAAAAATAATAAAAAAAAATAACAATTATAAAAAAAGATGATCAAAATTAATATAAAAATTAAATTTTAAGAGATAAAATTGAATAATAAATATTTAAAATAAAATATATATAGCAATCAAAAATTTGAAGACTAAACTTAATAATAAAAAAAACAAAAAAATTTAAAAAATAATTTTTTAAAAAGTAAATGTTAGAAATAAACAGTCAAAACCTTAATGTACCTCCTCTTCTTGATTGCACGCATTGGGGAAGCACTATATGGGCCTAAACAGTGTGACAAGCAAAGGCCTGGCCCATTACTCTTGTAGTCATCAAACTTGGGAGCAGCAGTAGCAGCCTACCCTGTGTTTTGCAGAGGAGTGAGCCAGCGAGCAAGAAGAGAAGGAGATTGAGAATGGCGGCGAGCTATCTGTGGAGGAAATACGCAGATTACTTGTATACAAAGTGGGAAAGAACAATTCTTTGGGATATGATAGAGCCCTACAGGAGACCAAAATCATTCACTCCTCTTGTTACCATTTATGTTGCTGCCTTTTACACTGGTGTCATAGGCTCTGCCCTCACTGAGCAACTATACAAGGTAACTCAACTCTCCCACTTTCCCTCTTCTTGAAACTAGGGCTAGGGTTAGGGATTTATGTGTGTGGTTGGGACTTGTTTTGGAAATTAAGTAGAGAATTAAGAGCTTAATTTTCTTGTTTAGATTCTGAACAATAACTTTAAAACTCATATTTTTGTCCATGATACATCTAATCTCGTAAATGGAATGGCAAAATGGGTTGTATATAGGGAAAACCCTAGACCTTAATTCCACAAAAGAAACGGGTTTCTAATGGTTTTGTGGCTTCTAATTGCACTAAGATAGACTGGTGCCTTTGGAGTAGGAAAATAATGTCTTAAGGAAACTGTTTGTTGCAGTAAATTGAAGAATTTAGTAATGGTGCCTCTGGTCATTTTGTAATTTAGAACCCCAACTGACAAGGTAGCCGCAGGCCTCTTATTTGCAGATTTCAAAGCCTTTTTATTGATGTAGACTCTAGTAGAGAATGAAACTTGTCCAACCACACTTTAGTTGTATCTTCAAGCTCGGCTCTTAGATTTTGATATGGTTTTATTGTCCGTGTCTCTCTACATATCGGATAAAAACAGAGTTTTTTAATAAATACAGGAGAAGGCAACCAATAAATGTTTATATTTACTGTTTCAACTATCCACGGTCAAACAATTGAAATTGTGGTCTTTTGAAATTCATTGAACAATTTTTTTTCCTTTGAACCATTTGGGTATTCAAGCTTCCAGGTTGGGTTGTAATTGAAGAATTGTGTTTTCATCTATCAAACAGGAGAAATACTGGGAGGATCACCCTGGTGAAGCAGTGCCTCTGATGAAGCCAAAGTTCTATTCTGGTCCTTGGAAGATTCTAAGAGGAGAAGTACCCACTTAGTGAATACACAGCAGAAAAAGAGTTTTTTTTTATATACTTTCTTCCCATTTACTTGCCGTCTCGATTGTTTAGATCAAGGTCGGTCTGTAATCTTGCTAACGTCAATAAAGCTGTAGCCATGATGCTTCATTAGTTTTATGTGTGAAAATGTTCTTGTTCTGCGAAACAACCTCACCACTTATGATAACCATCTAGGTGGTGGCCAAGTGGTAAAGACTTGGGACTAAGGAGTTTGCTCCATCTGTGGTCTCAGGTTCGAGTCCTTGGTTGCTCATATGATGGCCACTGGAGGCTTACATGGTCATTAACTTCAGGGCCCGTGGGATTAGTCGTGGTGCGCGCAAGCTGGCCCGAACACCCACGTTAATCTAAAAAAAAAAAAAGAATGTCTCTGTGGTCTCAGGTTCGAGTTCTTGGTTGCTCATATGATGGCCACTAGAGACTTACATGGTCGTTAATTTCAGGGCCCGTGGGATTAGTCGTGGTGCACGCAAGCTGGCCCGGACACCCCGCGTTAATCTAAAAAAGAATGTATACAATGTAACCATCTAGATGGTGGCCAAGTAGTAAGAACTTGGGATCAAGGGGTTTACTCCCTCTGTGGTTTCAGATTCGAGTCTTTGGTTGCTCATATGATGGTCATTGAAGGCTTACATAGTCGTTAACTTCAGAGCCCGTGGAATTAGTCGTGGTGCATGCAAGCTGGCCTGGATACCCGCGTTAATCTAAAAAAAATATATATATATATATACAATGTGGAACTCACCAATTAGTCAAATGTATAAGTTGACTTGAATATTCATATTAATAAATAAATAAATATATATAAAAAAGAAGAATGTATACAACATGGAACTCATCCATAAGTGGAAATACAGATATTTGAGTTGTCATGTAGGATATTTTTCTCATCATTTTCTGATGCGCTTCATTTGCTATTGGTCAGTCCAATGATCAAAAGGCCTGCTGTGCACAATGTGTCTTGTATAATTTTCATTCAGTTACTCGTGTAATTCGTAGCTTAAAACCTCCCACTCTTGGATGGAATTCAATATTTTGGTCATTGATGATAAAGCACTGAAACTGTGGCTGCTCACTTTGATTTGGCATGCAGAACCTACCATGATTGTAGTTAGCTGGTGTTTTTCCCTTATTATTGATGACGATTGTGCTGAAAGATAAGCCTGAGAAGTTTGTCAAGATGGAAAAAATTGGAAATGGTGTTTTGTTACTAAACATGGGAATAACTTAAGAAAATTGTACTAATTTGCATTAAAGAAGACCGTTTTCCGTTTGATATATATAAATCTCTTAGGCAAACCCTTGTTATATACACACACAAAAATACAAGGAAATTTATGTTGAACTGTACCGTATCCCATTCGAAAGGAGGTCGATCCTCCCAGAGAGTTAGAAGTGGTGTCCTAAACTAGCAAGATAATTTAAAAGAAAAACGGAAACAGATGAATAAATGACAGGACCCAAGATGTCTATAAAAGGTCTTGGTAATCTGAAGCTGATCAGAAAATACCTAAACCACCAGAACCAAAAATACAAAGAGGTTGATGGACATTAAAGGGTTGCCAAAAAAGAAAACTGGCATCCAAAAAGAGAGTTCAGGATTAGCTATTGCTGATAAGAAACAAAATGTCTATAAACGCTTAGGATCACGTACTGTTTGTTTTAGATTATGAATTGCAATAGGACCTTCTCTTCTCAACCTCTTAAGACTGCCAGTTCATTACGTTTTCAGCACCTTTAAGACGACCCCTAACAGAGTTATCATCCTCAAACCCAACGTAAGTAGAGGTTTGCATGCAGGTGCTACAGTAAACAAGCTATTTGGATCCTATAAAAGGACTGGTTGCCTATAAAGACCAAAATTTCTGCAGTTGGAAGGAAGGGTAGAAAACTAGCTAATAAAACCCCTTTTCTGTGTCTTCTTGGTTAGCAAGAAACAAGAGTGGCAAGAAAGCAAGTAGTGGTGAAGGTGAGTCGTCATGAGCAGTTCAAATTAAGATGCGAGTTCTCAAGTTTCTTTGACTGTTGACGTCACTTTGATTCTTTTTATCATCTGTGGGATAGTGGCTGTGTTTGGTTCCTTGGAAAATGCAAGAAAGAAAATTTGGAATTTGAATGTTGAATTGTCAACTTTCAGTGTTTTGTTTGGCTCTTGGGTTCTTTATGAAGTAAAAAGTAAAATAGAACATTCTAATGAGTACAGTTTCAGGAATTTTCTTGTCTTTTTGTGTCACAAGGAATTCTCACAACCATTTAACTTCTGGGTGTTTTTGTCATTTAATGGGCATTGGGATGTTTGGTTGCCAAGAAAATGCAAGAAAGAAGAAAGAGAAACTTGAATTCCGTAATGTTTCTTTTCCGTGGTTTTTTTTTAATTTGTTTTTGATCTGTCCTTTTTTTGTACGTTTAGTCCTTTCCGTTTTCTCCTTGAGGATGGCTACTCTTCTTTCCTGATAATCTTCTTTGTTTTTTTGATTCATAGCATTCTCTTGCCCTCTTGTCAAAGTGTCTCTGTTTGGTTGCTAAGAAAATGCAAGAACGAAATCCCATTAATTTTTTCCGGCCAAGTGAATTTCATGTTTTTTTGTTTAATTTCGGTTACTTCTGCAGTAAGAAACAAACAAGCATTAACACATAATAGTACAGAAATCATTCAGATAATGATGCGTTTACCATGCAGCATCAAGAGAGATCTCACGCCCAGATAGGATAAGTGATTGCTTGCATTGAATTGAGATGAGCATGGGGGAGGTACTGATTTCCTTGTCAGAATCTGAGCTGGTCATCTGAAGATAATGTAGAGTATTGGTCATGGTATAAATATTTTGCTTCTGATGCACTTAGTTCCTTTTCCTTTTAGTTTGGTTACTAGATGAAATGAACTTTCACAGGAGAAGCAAGATTCAGCAGAAGCAACGAAATCTCAGGAGCCACCAAGAAATGACCAAAATATCACACCCGGGGCTTCAGTGGCGGGCTCTAGTTCGGTGTCCAATGAAAGAAACAGCAGCATAAAAGAGGCAAGACATTTCATGTAATTTTCATCTGCGTCAGTACAAATGTTGTTGATTTATCCAGTGAAATTGACCTATTTTGTACTGAGTTTTTCATTTTATTTGTGACAATTGGCTGCGTAGGTCCAAGATAAAATTGAAAGCTGCCTGTACCTGTTTATGAATAAAGAAGATATGGTTAAGACACTGTTCGAACTAGATGGAATTGACCCTGGTGTTACAAGCTTAGGTAAAGTGGTAAACCACTCATTCCCTCCTACGAGCCAATCGAAATTTCCTAGTATGTAATATTGTAAACAATTTTTGGAGCTTCTCCTCTTCTTGGTACTTTAGACCTCATACAATGTCATCGAGATCAAATGTTGCTTAAGGATAATCCTTCCCCTTTTCCCCTGTTCTGTTGTTATATGGTATCTTTATCTACTGCTTACATGTGGAAGCAAGGTTCAATATGAATCCACAAATTGTTGAATGTTCCTTATTTAATGACTCTGACAATTTTTATTTTTTTTTCATGATATAGCATGGAATCAATTGGAGGAAGAGAAACCAGAAATTTTCAAGGATTTTTACGCAAAGTTGATTCTGGAAGAGCCAAGCTCTACATCCAATCAATTACTTGAGCAGCAAAAGGATCTTGAGAATTTCCTTGCATGTCTAGATGATCCCTTGGCTTTTATTGAGGAAGACTTTCAACACATTCCAGGTAAGTTTCTTGCCATAAACATTCTACTGTGTCCCAAATATAATAGATTTAACAACATAAAGCTGGCCTCTGGATAAATCTCAAAGGTTTCAGCTTTTGATTGTTTACATGATCATAAAGATTGTAGATGTCTAATTTATGAACGCATATACAAATGAAACAAGTATGGTAATGATTCGTAGCGTATTTGAAATACTCCATTTAGTATTGGTAATTTCTTATATTTTTAGCTTATGAAAGGAAAATTGGAGCTAGGCTTACTAATGTCATTTCTGTAGGCACAAGATGGAGTACAAGTGTTGGACAGATGAAACTCCGTACAATCAGAAAACATATGCAATTTCCTTGTAATTTTCAATTTCTCAGTCATGACCCAGAAGTAAGAGTGCTTAGTTTCTTCCTGCAGTTGACATTCTACCCTGGGGAGACACCATTCCGCTAGAGGTTCCAATTCCATCTGGTGATCCCTATATTGATTCCCTGAGCACTGTTTCCTGCAGACAACTTGTAAATGATGAAAACCCTGCATCTGACAGTTTCCATCCAGCACAAAAGAATTTTGAGAGATTGTAAGTCTTCCCCCTCGTATTAGATTTTTCTTCTTTCTCCTTTTCAATTAATTTTTCTTGGTCATATGCTAAGTAATTTATAATGGAGATGATCTTGCAAATTTACTGAACTGGTGATTATATTTATGTTAGCATAAATCTACATGTAGATATATAAAATCATGATAAACTTTTATTCAAATAAAGGGATCGAATCTTGACATCCACAGAGATAAAAAAAAAAAGCAAATGATCAAAAAGTACATCAGGAATAATAGGAAATGCTAGGGTTTACGTTGTCGCATGCTGACTGCTCGTCTGTTTGTTGAAGGATGGCATTGGACAGAAATGCAGCTGATATAGAACGTGTCCCATTCTTTATAAATTTGGAGATTCTGAATCCTGCATCAGTTGCAGACAATGATCAGACAGAGGCAGAACATGATCCGATCTTATCTTGTCTGAACTCTCCAGAGCAACCTGGGCCTGTCTTCGGTTACTTGACAGATACAAGTGGTAAGTTTGAACCCGTTATATTCTGAAGTTGTTCGAGGTTCTTACTCTCCTAGGTTAAAATCCATGGCATAGTCATTTGATCCTAAACTAGTTTCAAGTAATTCATTGTTTTCATCCATTTATCTTTACATGACTCAAGAAGAGACATTAACTTCACAGCTGAATTAACCTGCACTACATAACCTCATTGAGATGTCCTTTTTCTTTGTTTTGAGGTTCACAATCCATGTTCTTCCATAATTTGAATAGAATATCTGGTTTCTGGTGTATCTCCTTACCTTCCTTGGCCAAATTTTAATCCAGCTTCTAGTATATTTCTTGATCCTCCAGAGCCAAATTTCAATCCAGGCTCTGCTATATTGCCTGATCTTCCCGACTCAAATTTCAATCCTGGTAATAGCACATTTCCTGACACTCCAGAGACAAATTTCCATCCAGATTTCGGTACTTTACTTGATCCTCCAAAGCCAAAAATCGATGGTAAATCTTAATTTTTTTTCCTTCATGTGCTTAGACTTTCTTCAGCCTCCAGTTTTTTATGCGTGTTCCATTATTGTTTCAGTTGATGATTACTTCAACGTTTCTTCCTGGGACTCTCAATCAGAAGAAGAATCTTAAGGCAAGGCCTTACAGTATTAATCATGTCGGGAATTGGATCGCCTAGATGTAGCTCAGACTGGAAAAAACCACTGATTATCTTGCCTGTATGTCTAGTGCGTCAAGGTGAATTTGAAACCTGAAGTTGATTAAGGCTGGCGTCAAATATCAGCCCGCCATTGTATTTTTTTCCCATTTTATTTCTTGTAGCAGAACAGATGTTTTGTGTATGTTTTTGTATACCGAAGCAGGAAAATCTATGTAGATTGAGTTAGGTTGCTCTTCATTCCAAATCACAAATATAATTTACTTGTTAACAAAATTTATTAAGTGCAGGTACACATGAGACACAGAAATCAACTTGATTAAATGTGCTTTGACTAACTTAAATAAAATCTGCAAAATTTCTAAATGGTTTTCAAACAGATAGTGAAATTAATTGGAAAGATCCTGTTGGAATAGGCATTTCACTGTGAAATAAAACCTGTAAATGGGCTAGCAGCTGTCCCTCCAAAATAACTGTCTAACTGACTCTTCTTAACTAACATCTGTATTAACAGCCTGAATCATCACCATCTGCCACGTGTCCCCAACTCCTAGCTTCTCCTTTTCTATAACTGAGCCACATTTCATTAGAAAACTATGATGCGTGGACAGAAGCTATAAAAGACTAATTGCCAGTAGCCCAAAACATTGCTAATTATCTTCGTTAATCACTTGTCAATTAAAATGAACTTCCACAGGAAGCAAGAGAAGAAAGATTCCCAGCAAGGATATCTCGTGAGCCCCCAAGAAACCACCAAAATCTCTAGAATGGAGATGCTCCTATGGCGGGCTCTAGTTCAGCGCCACCAAGAAACCATCAAAATCCTACAGGTGGGCTCTAGTTCTGTGCCACTGAGAAACCAACAAAATCTTACGCATGGAGGTGCTATTGTGGCAGGCTCTAGTTCAGTGATACCAAGAAACCAACAAGATCTAACAAAAGAAGGTGCTCTTATGGCGGGCTCTAGTTCAGTGCATCCACAGCGTGTTCTGCAGGATTCTATTGCATCTCATAATGCTTCATTGGCTCCCATTCAAGAAGACAATCAGCCCATACCAGGTTCCTTTCCACAACATTCTACCATGATGTGCCCATGCCCATGCCTGTGGGGTTTAAACCCAAACTACGCTGCTACTAAGGCTCATTTATGACTCCTCATCTTCCTATTAAAAAAACTACAACTGGTGCTCCCTGCAAGTATGTTGTATACAATTGATGGAGCATCTCCTCTTATGGCTACCTTCCCTTTAAAGTTCTTGCCGGATCATGACACAAAAATGCTGTGACCTTCGACAATCTTATGGGAGTTTTGGATTCAAGGGAGATGTTTTAGACCTCAAAAAATATCATTGAAGATTAAATGCTGCCAAGGATAACCTTTCCTTTTTGCCTCCTCTTCTGCTCTGTGCTGTGTTTATCCGCTGCTTGCCTTTATCTGCTAGGTTTCAACTTCTTGACATATCAAATCATGTTCCTTTTCCAAGAGCTCTGACATTTTTCTTTTCGTGAATCAATTGGAGAAAGAGAAACCAGAACTGTTTAAAGACTATTAGACAAAGTTCGGTATCTGGAAATATTCGAATGCATTCAACTAGTACTCGAGACATTCTGAGAACAAATAAGCCTATCCAAGCACAACAACATAAGCAATTTCCTTAATTTTCACTTAACTGTTTTTAAGTCGTTATTCATTATGCAGGATCTCCTCCTTGTTTTCGTTATGCAAGCCTTAAATTCTCAGTCGTGCCGCTGAAGTAGAAGTGCTTAGTCTAATTCTGTCATTATAAAATTTGTGTTAGTGATGGTTTCTTTTTCTGTACCACAGTCGATAGTCTGCCCCCACAGCTTCCAAATACATCAACTGCTCGCTTCTAGACTGATTCCAGGAGCCTTATTTCCAGAGATCACAATGAAAACCCTGCATCTGGCAGTTTATGCCCGGCACAGATGAATTATGGGAGAGGGTCAAAATTCCTTCTGGCAGCTATCCAACTGGAACTTGATGAATCTAGGTGTAACAGCTTCGGGATGCTTCATATGCTTGCAGCAATCGGTGGCGAAGTGCTGATATCCCGCCAGTGGTTTCTATATCTCATTGAGTGTATTCTAAATGCTACTATATAAACTATACCAACGTATGCGTAACATTATAGAGTTAGATCAATTTGGAAAGCATATATCCGGCTGGAACTTGATGAATCTAGGTGTAACGCTTCGGGATATGGAATACATGTGAGTAATCAGTGTGCTCCATGCACTGAATCTATTTGAAATGAAGGAGTTCAGGGATGTGCTGTTCCTGAGTAGGGGCAAGCAATTGAGTAGGTTCAGAGGGCTGGTCTAGTGTACGTTTATGTGAGCGCAAGTCTGTATTTACTAGGATGAATATCGACAAATGCACTGATAAAAAATCATGCAAATTATCAGATGGTTTGGTGGGAATGATTGAGAATACTTGGGTTTAACCTCCCATATACTTACCGCTCTTTT